GAGCTGTAGTTATTAAGGAAATCAGGCTGACAGGACTGTGCTGGCATGGCGTAGAGTGCTGTCCAGCATCTCAGCACTCTACGCCATGAACCTCTGGATCGCCAGTCAAGTTCAACTGACATCCTAAAGCTGGTTACTTCCCCATCACTTTAATGCAACAACAGCACTTTAATGCTCAAATTCATGTCCTGAACAAGAAAAAAAAAAAAGGCATAAGGCAGAGATCAACAGCGGTGGATGTCAGTCAGCGTGGACACAGGGCTGCCACGTTCAGCAGGTGCATGGGGCAGAAGGCAGACCAGGCCTCAGGACGTCGTGTCTTGCCTTGTCTTTCTTCTGCCTCCAGGCTCCAGCCAAAGGTTCCCGAAGTCCAAAGCATCCTACACCAAAGCAGACGTGAGGAAACCAAGGTACATCCTGGCTTTGCAGGGAGGGAGGCAAGAGGCCCGTGCTCTCCCAAGGCCACCGTCACACATGGTGACACTGCTCCTCGAGGAAGCCACGCAGGGTGGTCAGGGCACATGCTACAAGGAGCAGGGTGCGATGTCCTTCCCAGGGCTCCTCAACGCGAGCTGGACACGCAGGAACAGCAAGTGCTCTCCAGAGGCTGCCCTCTGGGAACGGCGGGCTGCACGGCCCGCGAGCACCTTGTATTACTGAAACTCGGCTATATCCTACCCAAAGGGATGCCCTGGGACATAGGGGTGTCCAAGCCCAGCTAGCAGACTCTTAATCCTGTGACCACCCCAAGCTGTCCAAGCCTTAATACTTGAAAATCCCTTCTCCGGGGTGGCACAGAGAGGCCATTTAGCTTTCCAAAACGGTGACAGGAGTCACCAAAGCCTCCTCTTTAGAAGCAGCAGTGATCAGCGGTAGGCAGGGTCACACACCTATGGAAAGTCTTAGTTCAGCATGTGTGCTTTCCATTCACTTCCCAGACCATTAAATTGCTGTTTTCACGCTACTCTCGTGCACATAATTCCAAGACTCTGGCTGCCTGAAGAGCTTTAGGTCCAGTGAATAACAAGCCCTCAATCACACACAAAAGGTCTCGTGTGTTTCCAGCAGCTCACAAGTAACTCCTGATGCTGGCATGACCCTCAAGGGTGGGCAGCATCCTTTTTTTGGGGGGATGCCTCTTCCCTGCATCTCTGGAAGACGAATCCTTAGGCCAAAACGTGGCTCTGCCTGTGCACGACAAACAGTGTCAGCTGTTTCGAGCATCCAAATGCTTTCACAGGGTCAATAACAGTTTTGAGGCACCAAAACTCTGCAGTGGGGAATGGAAACCCGAATGAGGAGGCACTGCCTCCTCATCCCCATTATCAAAAACAAATGGGATGGGAGGAAAATAACACCATGAATTGCTAATGGATTAAGACAAACTGAATCCTTGCAAGTGTTAGTAAACAGAAAATAGTTTTAAAGTTACTTAGGAAATGGATTTGCTTTATAGATCAATAAATTTTTCATATAAATCTACTGGAATGATAACTGAAAAGGTCCTTTAAATGGGATCATTCCCCCTCTTCTGCCAGCAATTACTCAGCATTTATTCCTTTCTGCCACCCTCCCCAAACCAGCTGCTCCGAGCAGGAATTTTCCTTCCCATCTGCCCTTAAGCCTGACAGTGACATGAGCAAATGCAACTGGAAGTGATGTCTACACTCCAAATTCAGCAGTGCTGCTATCAGTCCATTTACTTCTTTTAACAAAAGCCAAAAAAAAAACCACGTGCTTGCTTTGGGCAGCCTGAGCCACTGGAAAAGATTTTACTCAGAAGAGGAAACTCCGCACATGGGAGTAGCAGTAATTTTTGCAGAAGACTATGTCAGAAAATAAATAATTTATATATTTATATATAATATGTATACACATGTATATAAATAAGTATATGGGATCATTACCTTCCTAACTCTTCTTTAATGATTTTAAACTTGTTCAGCTATAACTTTATGCTATGGAGGTCCTTGTTATTTAGATGGAGTTGTCTAAGTGTGGTACAATTTGACATGAAGAAAAGCAGAGCAGAATCCGTCCAGGGTTTCCAAGAGCTTATCGACCTTAGTCACCCTATCATCATACAAGCAAAGTGAACATCCTCAGTTGGAGTTGGAGGCTAGGTGCCTTTGGAATAAAAAACTCAGCTTCTGAACAAGCTTTTTTTCTTTTTTCTTTCCTTTTTTTTTTTTTTCCATATAGGTATAATTACATTCCAGCCTCCAAACAGCTAGAAGCTCCGTGCCCTGTTTTGTACGCTTTATTTCTCATGAATACGCATACAGCACAAACCCAAACCACATTAATGATAACCTTGTTAAATATAAACTAGCATGCAATTATACGAACTGCTAACACAAACAGAAAAGGCAGGAAACTCTGATTATACGTTCACAATAGGTTCTGAAAAACTAAATAAAAAAAGCAGCGTAACGCAGCCTGTCCTGCACGATACTGTAATAGCAAATGGTTTCGTGTTACAACATAACTTACGTGTCTCAGCACAGAGGACTTGCCTTGCAAAGGACACATCAAACTCCATTTCCAACCTGCTGCAAGGAGAGTGGAAGGGCGGGAGAAGCAACAGCAGGCGGATGTTTTTTTAAAAGGAGAATCTGTGATTTCCCTGCCTGCCTCTCTGCATCGCCCGGCAGGTGAGCAGTGCTGGGCAAGGGCAGCCACACGCAGGGCGTTTGGCTCCCTGCTCTGCATTAGGAGAGCGGCAGAAGGGTGGCCTGGGCTCGCGCCAGCCCTGTGCCTGCCTGTGACTTATCCTGGTGCTGGAAAGAGCCAGCCTGGCAAGCGGGGGTTGCCTGGTGCCTTTTCACTGATGAGATGAGGTGCACGTGCTGGATCACCACCTCTGTGCTGCAGCTGCCTCCCTCTTCCCTCCTGTGCCATCAGCACTTGACCATTTGGGACGTTCAAATATATATATATATATTTTTTTTTGCTATGCAAAAAAAGAAGCAAATCTATTGGGAAGGAGCCAGGTTCCTGCCGGGACTGCACATCTGCAGTGTCACGGCAGCCAGCAAAGCCATGGGCATTCCTGAGATCTCTGCTTCGCAGGCACAAACCAGGAGCTGGGCGCTACCACAGGGACTATCTCGCTCAGCACCCCAGGAAGCGTCAGCTGGGTGGTTTCCCCTTGCCATTGACTTCTGCAGTCAATCCTGTCTATTTGCACAGCAGCGAGAACCCGCACAACGCTGCACGTGTGGGCTGCAAGCAAGGGTGGCAATCATCTGGCTCTCTTAAGCTTTGCAAAAACTCTTGTTTTATTTAACATAAATAAATAAAAAGCTAATAGAGATGCAAACAGGGGCAATGGCAGGGAGAGGGCAGCTCCACTTAAAAAGCAACACAGGAGAAAACTCAGCATCCCTTCCAGAATGGACCTGAGAGGATGATATCATAGCAGGGGATCAAAGCCTGCGAGTTAGGAGAAACACGAAGGATCCTTGGGAATCCCCAAGCAAAACACAGGGCTCCTAAACTCACGGATAAACTTGCACAGGCGGCAGGAAAGAGGCCCCGGCGCGCTGAGCACGAGGCGGGTACCACGAGCAGCGCTGTGTCACTCGCTGGCCACAGCGCGGCTGGAGACAGCGCCCTCCCCACACGGAAAGTTTCGGGAGCCACAGGAGAAGGTTTTGGTTTTGGGAAAGAAGGTTTTGGGACCTTATCCCAAAGACAGAAGGTTTTGGAAAGCAGAAAGGTTTTGGGCCCAGGAGAAGATGAGCACGAGGAGGTGTTTGGAGAGGCCAGGCGGGCTCCCTGACGCACCACCAAGGGGCTCGGAGAGCACCAGCCAGGTGCAGGGCGTGCAGCAAAGGCGGCTCTCGCTTGGAGCAACTCCAGCCTCTCCCAGACAGTTGGTTTGGGGAGAAATTTTTCCTAGAGCAATCCATGCTCAATTACCCTTATAAACCCTTGCAAAAACATGTGACTCGGAGCCTACCTATTCGTGCAAGGGAGCAGCGAGAAGGCAGCACGGCCAACGGGAACGTGGGAATGGAGAGCCCAGGCGCTTTCCAAGAGTCCCCCCAGCCTCTCCTCCTCCCCACTCATCCCCCAACCTCTGGATAACGTTGGGAAAGCACAGCAAGGCTATGCTGCATGCCCGGGGCAAAGAATCCACCTGCAGCGTGTGCGCTTTTTGTTTGTATGGGACTGCACATTCCCGGCCCCAGGAGCAGGAGGACTCGGTGTGTATGGGATTGCACATTCCCAGCCCCAGGAGGTGCTGGGCTCGGTTTGTACGGGACTGCACATTACCAGACCTGGGAGCAGGTGGGCTCAGTTTGTACGGGACTGCACATTCCCAGCCCCGGGAGCAGGTGGGCTTGGGGTGCATGGGACTGCACATTCCCAGCCCTGGGAGCAGGAGGGCTCGGTGTGTATGGGACTGCACATTCCCAGCCCTGGGAGCAGGTGGGCTCAGTGTGCACAGGACTGCACATTCCCAGCCCTGGGAGCAGGAGGGCTCAGTTTGTACGGGACTGCACATTCCCAGCCCCGGGAGCAGGTGGGCTTGGGGTGCATGGGACTGCACATTCCCGGCCCTGGGAGCAGGAGGGCTCGGTGTGTACGGGACTCCACATTTCCGGCCCTGGGAGCAGGAGGGCTCGGTGTGTATGGGACTGCACATTCCCAGCCCCGGGAGCAGGAGGGCTCGGTGTATACGGGACGGCACATTCCCAGCCCAGGGAGCAGGAGGGCTCGGGCTCCGGGACGAGCCTGCGGGAAGGCAAGGGGCCGCGCAGCGGCAGGGCGCGAGCGGCACCGCGCCCGCCTCCCGCGGCGCTCCACGCCGGGAAAGCGGGACCCGCGGGGGGAACGGGGCGGCGCGCGGGGGAAACGGGATGACACGCGGGGGGAACGGGGCGACGCGCGGGGGGAACGGGAGGGCGGCCCGGGCGCGCCGAGGCGGCGGCGGCGGCTGCGCGCGTTTCCAGCGTGCCCGGGAGCGGCGGCGGGCGGCGGGCGGCGCTTACCGCGATCGCTGCAGCTCGAAGGCGGCCCCGGGCAGGGCGCTGTCGCCGGCGCCCTGCGGGCTGGCGCGGCCGAAGGGCGCGGGCAGCACCCCGGCCGTGAAGGAGTTGAGGCGGCCGCGGCTGCCGCCCGCCGCGGCGCCCAGGAAGGCGGCGGGCGGCACCTGCACGGCGGCGAAGGCGTCTTCCTCCTCCTCCTCCTCCTCGTCGTCGTCCTGCTCGTCGCGCGGCTCCTCGTCGGGCGCCGCCGGGGGGGGGCTGCCGAGCCGCGGCGGGGCCTGG